GGATAAACCGACCCGAGAGGCTCTACAACAGAATGTCTCAAAGCTACAGAGTTATCTCCGACTTGGAATCCACTCTTAATCCGCTTATCTATTTTGACGACGTTTGATCGCCAACTCTTCTCTCCATGCCAGTGAACCCTGGCCACCGGGGGAGGTCACAGTTGACTGCAGTGCGGAGGGCTCTGTTCCCCTCGTTGAGGAGAAAGACCCTTACGTTCCCGGATGTCTTAGCAGCGAGGGCAGCGGCTTTCGTAGCAATGGCTGCAGCAGATCGATAGCGGAAAGGGAGGATTCCGATATCCACACATGTGGCGTCTGCAGGCGTGGAATGGAGAAGGCCGGATACGATGCCCAAGCAGCACACTTCCATCGAAATAAGTTGCTGCAACTTGATTGAGACTGGAATGGGTTGCACACAAGTAACCACGATTGTTCAGTGACAAGTGTGCTGCTAGGGTGCGTACGTAGGTATTGTATACATGAGCGAGGATGTGGTTGAGCTTCTCGGTGGCTAAGCAGATTATTTCGAGCAGAGCGTCACAATATCAGCTTCAATCGACCAAATCGATGCGGCGAAGAGACTGCTGGCTTTCTTTTTCTGTTAAAGTCGAACAGCTTCGCAGCATTCTAGAACCTCAGTCGGCGTGCACAAACAAATGTTCAATCGCTTGTCTCTCTTTCTCCCGTCGCTCCATTGGTCTTCCTTTCAAGCTTCGGCGAAACGGATGACCGAAAGGGCGCTCGACTTTGATAGTTTTCTCTTTCATGAAACACATCAACAGAGGTTTCATGACGTATATGACGGAACATGAAATTACAAATGTAAAGCATTTCTCATGTGAAAACACTTGAAGATTACACGTAATATTTTAATTTATCTTCCATCCATATATTTATCTAAAAAAAATGATTGAAAACGGGACATAACGCATTTTAAACAAATTGAAAGAGCGGTGATAGAGTGTTCGTGAAAGGGGATTGAAAGCCATAATGAGGTTTCGTTTAACTAGAAATTCGACGTTAGTTACATTGAAAGCGATGAGCAAAGCAACGACGAGAAGTTCCACAGCCAGCCTTTCCTTCTAAGCGTCCTGCTTTTTTATTTTCGTTTCTTGCTGATAGTCTAGCTAGGCGTTATAGAAATGAAGCGTCGAACACGTATGTATGAGAGAAACAAAACACGAGTTCATTTTAGAGCTTCGCCCTGATTTCGAGGCCGTAGAAAAGTCGACTGTCGATAACAGTCCGAGCGACACGAAGGTGGATCTCACGGTTGCTGGAGCGATGCGGGCGGGAGATTGTCCTGACTACACTGCTAAAAAAAAAGTAGTGTAAATTTCCGTTACTATGATGCACATAAATGGAGCGTCATATATCATGCAAGTTTACATTATAGATCGTGTAAATTTATGAGACATGTCATGCAATATGCCATATATTGTATGCAACTGTCCACCTTGGTTTGCAACATTTCTTGCAAGCTGCTAGTTTACGTGAAAAGGAAGTTTACATGCTTGAATGTTTGCATGCATGGATGTTTACATCACCAGTAAAATTCAGATTTTTTTGCTATGTATGATCATCTGTAAGCACTTCAATTTTCACTCTCACTTCACAGTATTTATAATACACTTCGTCGATCTTCTTTAGACGTAGTTCCACTGCACTTTTATCTGACTGTCTGTCTGTCTGTCTGTCTGTCTGTCTGTCTGTCTGTCTGTCTGTCTGTCTGTCTGTCTGTCTGTCTGTCTGTCTGTCTGTCTGTCTGTCTGTCTGTCTGTCTGTCTGTCTGTCTGTCTGTCTGTCTGTCTGTCTGTCTGTCTGTCTGTCTGTCTGTCTGTCTGTCTGTCTGTCTGTCTGTCTGTCTGTCTGTCTGTCTGTCTGTCTGTCTGTCTGTCTGTCTGTCTGTCTGTCTGTCTGTCTGTCTGTCTGTCTGTCTGTCTGTCTGTCTGTCTGTCTGTCTGTCTGTCTGTCTGTCTGTCTGTCTGTCTGTCTGTCTGTCTGTCTGTCTGTCTGTCTGTCTGTCTGTCTGTCTGTCTGTCTGTCTGTCTGTCTGTCTGTCTGTCTGTCTGTCTGTCTGTCTGTCTGTCTGTCTGTCTGTCTGTCTGTCTGTCTGTCTGTCTGTCTGTCTGTCTGTCTGTCTGTCTGTCTGTCTGTCTGTCTGTCTGTCTGTCTGTCTGTCTGTCTGTCTGTCTGTCTGTCTGTCTGTCTGTCTGTCTGTCTGTCTGTCTGTCTGTCTGTCTGTCTGTCTGTCTGTCTGTCTGTCTGTCTGTCTGTCTGTCTGTCTGTCTGTCTGTCTGTCTGTCTGTCTGTCTGTCTGTCTGTCTGTCTGTCTGTCTGTCTGTCTGTCTGTCTGTCTGTCTGTCTGTCTGTCTGTCTGTCTGTCTGTCTGTCTGTCTGTCTGTCTGTCTGTCTGTCTGTCTGTCTGTCTGTCTGTCTGTCTGTCTGTCTGTCTGTCTGTCTGTCTGTCTGTCTGTCTGTCTGTCTGTCTGTCTGTCTGTCTGTCTGTCTGTCTGTCTGTCTGTCTGTCTGTCTGTCTGTCTGTCTGTCTGTCTGTCTGTCTGTCTGTCTGTCTGTCTGTCTGTCTGTCTGTCTGTCTGTCTGTCTGTCTGTCTGTCTGTCTGTCTGTCTGTCTGTCTGTCTGTCTGTCTGTCTGTCTGTCTGTCTGTCTGTCTGTCTGTCTGTCTGTCTGTCTGTCTGTCTGTCTGTCTGTCTGTCTGTCTGTCTGTCTGTCTGTCTGTCTGTCTGTCTGTCTGTCTGTCTGTCTGTCTGTCTGTCTGTCTGTCTGTCTGTCTGTCTGTCTGTCTGTCTGTCTGTCTGTCTGTCTGTCTGTCTGTCTGTCTGTCTGTCTGTCTGTCTGTCTGTCTGTCTGTCTGTCTGTCTGTCTGTCTGTCTGTCTGTCTGTCTGTCTGTCTGTCTGTCTGTCTGTCTGTCTGTCTGTCTGTCTGTCTGTCTGTCTGTCTGTCTGTCTGTCTGTCTGTCTGTCTGTCTGTCTGTCTGTCTGTCTGTCTGTCTGTCTGTCTGTCTGTCTGTCTGTCTGTCTGTCTGTCTGTCTGTCTGTCTGTCTGTCTGTCTGTCTGTCTGTCTGTCTGTCTGTCTGTCTGTCTGTCTGTCTGTCTGTCTGTCTGTCTGTCACTTCGTCGATCTTCTTTAGACGTAGTTCCACTGCACTTTTATCTGACTGTCTGTCTGTCTGTCTGTCTGTCTGTCTGTCTGTCTGTCTGTCTGTCTGTCTGTCTGTCTGTCTGTCTGTCTGTCTGTCTGTCTGTCTGTCTGTCTGTCTGTCTGTCTGTCTGTCTGTCTGTCTGTCTGTCTGTCTGTCTGTCTGTCTGTCTGTCTGTCTGTCTGTCTGTCTGTCTGTCTGTCTGTCTGTCTGTCTGTCTGTCTGTCTGTCTGTCTGTCTGTCTGTCTGTCTGTCTGTCTGTCTGTCTGTCTGTCTGTCTGTCTGTCTGTCTGTCTGTCTGTCTGTCTGTCTGTCTGTCTGTCTGTCTGTCTGTCTGTCTGTCTGTCTGTCTGTCTGTCTGTCTGTCTGTCTGTCTGTCTGTCTGTCTGTCTGTCTGTCTGTCTGTCTGTCTGTCTGTCTGTCTGTCTGTCTGTCTGTCTGTCTGTCTGTCTGTCTGTCTGTCTGTCTGTCTGTCTGTCTGTCTGTCTGTCTGTCTGTCTGTCTGTCTGTCTGTCTGTCTGTCTGTCTGTCTGTCTGTCTGTCTGTCTGTCTGTCTGTCTGTCTGTCTGTCTGTCTGTCTGTCTGTCTGTCTGTCTGTCTGTCTGTCTGTCTGTCTGTCTGTCTGTCTGTCTGTCTGTCTGTCTGTCTGTCTGTCTGTCTGTCTGTCTGTCTGTCTGTCTGTCTGTCTGTCTGTCTGTCTGTCTGTCTGTCTGTCTGTCTGTCTGTCTGTCTGTCTGTCTGTCTGTCTGTCTGTCTGTCTGTCTGTCTGTCTGTCTGTCTGTCTGTCTGTCTGTCTGTCTGTCTGTCTGTCTGTCTGTCTGTCTGTCTGTCTGTCTGTCTGTCTGTCTGTCTGTCTGTCTGTCTGTCTGTCTGTCTGTCTGTGAAAATTTGTATACAGGGGTTTTTGGGGCCGTGGAAGGTTCTTATGATGGTTCAAGACCCCTCCCCCTTCTGTAAGGGGGGGGGGCTCCCATACAAATGAAACAGAAATTTCTGCATAACTCGAGAACTAATCAAGCAAATGGAACCAAATTGGGCATGTGGGGGCGAGTGTGGGGGTATAAGGAGATAATCATAGGAGGTAGCCCCTTAGATAATAGGGGGGGGGGGCTTCGTAAAATATAGCGTGCTTTTTTTAAATCGGCGCATAAACTCAAGCTAATATTGAATCCCGAGCAAGATCGGGCACACTCAGCTAGTAAATTATAAAAACCGGAGAAATGCAAAAACGTTCTTCACAATATTCTACTGATGATGAGTACAATCTCGCATGTAATGTAATCTCATCAAGCTTAAGCTGTCGCACAATGCAAACCAACCAAGCCACCTCAACCACACATTCTCAGTGAGTCATGCATGTCGGTTTTTCGGTACATATCGTGGAGAATAATTTGAGCCCATCTGCCATTTGCAGAATGTATATAGTTTATATTTGTTGGACGAGTTCCGGGTCGTTTTCTGCCATTTTTTAATCAAGTGCAATTTGAATTGATAATGCATAAATCCGCACCATTGGACAACGACCATCGTTGGATTTGGTGAGTTTGTTCCAGTTGAGAACGCAGTCCAGTTGCATTTGTTATCGGTTTTCATTATTTTTTTGATTTTGTGAGTTTTTGTGATTGCTGGCCCATAGGCCCCCTTAAATAAAATTTTCTAATTACGCCAATTGGTTACAAACAGGGAAGGCTTTAGGCATGTAAAACAGTTCTACTATACAATAGCTTTTTTTCAATCCATATTTAATTTATTACAACTTATTTACAAATAATCAAAAAAGTGGTTTTTGGGTCAGATTGGGCCTCCTGTGTGTTGAACGATCATAAAAAAAAATCATTTAAATTCCTGTCACCATAGCAATCCAAGCGCGATGGCTCTGAACTCGGGTGTAGACAGCCGGCAGCATGCGGCCGCAACCAGCCGACAGTGAGAACACTCCAGCCAGTACGTTGTCTTCCGTAGCCAATGGGGCACCGGCATCGATGATGCAGTAGCATCCTACCATCCGTGGACGAGCGCACATGTTGGTCGGATAGATGTTGACGTGGGATTCTCCATCCAGATGCATCTGCGCGCATTCTTCGTTTTCGATTGTGACCTTACGAGCCATCTGCATGTCGTTGGGCGTTTCGTCTTCGTACTGGTTAAAGTGGAGTGTATTTGATAAATTTATGAAACTGAAAAAAACGGATTAGAATTCTTACATCTGATCGCCATCCAGTCAGGACCACCAGCTCACCAGGCGAAGAAGCTACGCTGGGTAGATTGATGGTCTGAACATCCTCACTCAGCTCCATATCGGACGCGGTCATCACCAGTGCCATGTCATGTTCGTAGAAAATTGGATCGAAGTTAGGGTGCTTGTGGATTTCAGCGACGTCGTATTGCATTCCTTGCGGTTCGATGGTATAACTGCCAACGACAATTTTGAAACTGCTGGTGGTATGTCCCTGAACGCAATGGGCTGCCGTTAGAATCCAACGCTCGGAGAGGATTGAACCGCTGCAGTAGTGGATCATAACTGGCATCGAACGCAGCGATGCTTGGAAGGGGGCATGTGGAACCGGATCCATTGGATCCATGTCCCTTGCTACGGTGAATGATTTACTATAGTTGAGAGTTCTAACATTGACGAAATTTTCAAACTCACCATTTGGTGCAGCATGAACAGCTGCAACAGCCAAAACAACTAGAGCGATAATCTTGTACATGATTACTCCGGATAGGATCTACAACAACTGTTGCGACGAGTGAACTACGATTGAACTGCCAAGGGTTCTTTGCTTTTATACCGAGCAAGTTATCCTTATCACAAGTGAACTTATTTGGCTGATAATGCGAACCTTTTATCTCCAAATACCGGTTCAGTCAGCAGTGATAAAGGGCTCAATTTGGTGGTTTTTGTCTAAATTTTGCGCTGGGTGCACCTGACAGATGGTTGCACTGAGGTATTGCTGTGGTTGATTGATTTAAATCGTTATCTACATTAAACCCTTTAGAAATGGATTCGAGCTATGCGTGCATAGCATTTATCAGTTCGTCGAATGAATTGGTGATGAGAATGGTCGGAAATCCCGGCAAATTCTCAGCTGGCATTAATACAAAGTGCGATATCAGCTGAATCATCAGCCCTTCATGGTTTTAAAAATGGTTCACGATGTAATCGTTCGTTACAGTGTCGTCACCGAATTTATGTACCCCATAACCATAGCTCACCGTGGGTGTTCCGAGACTGTCCGCCGCGTCGTCCTCACCCCCTAACATGGTGGTAGTCAGCGACCCGGCTAAAAGAATAGTTCCTCCAGCGACACGGGGCACCTACTGTCAGCCCGACCGAGGAGATATGTAGGTACCCACTTGTGCGCTAACTTGCTAACGATGGTTGCATTTCGATTATCTGTTTCCCCTATTGTGCGCGATTTACGGCAGCGTGCGCACATTCCAGTTAGCCCCAACAACCGGCCGGCTGACTATTACACTATTCAGTGAGAAAAGTATTTTCCGATCATAAAACTCATAAATAATTTCCCACTACCACCGCGGGCCACCACCGGCAGCGGTGACCGTTGGTGGTTGTCGCTGGGAGTACAGGTGTTGTTGCAAGTGCTCAACGATTCAGGGAAATAAGACTCAAGAAGGTACATGGTGCCGTGGGTGCCGTTTCATTTTAGCACTAATCGGTCACTTAGCATCCACCGGGGGAGTCCTGCAGCTGGTGAGCACGTGCAGGGTGTCTCACGGTTTACGAGAGATTTAGCTTGATGGTGATGGCGGTCAGGTGTCTGGAGGACATCCACAGCAAAAAGACTAAAGGTGAAATTTAGGGGGATGCTTTCCAAGAATCCGGTCAACAGATTGGAAGGGAACTCGTCAAACTATATAAACTTTTAAATTAATTAAGGGATAATTTAAAAGAACTTATAAGACGAACAGAGCTGAATCCTTCATGTAATTCTATGGAACAGGCTTCCAGGTAAACTTCAATAATTTGAAACTATTTTCTTCCGAACATTAAATGACGATTAATCTAAGCCTTCAGTTACATGCGTTAAAAATGAGGACATCGTTCAATCATTATTTATAGCACCATACGCCATTCGGCGCATAGTGGGCAAAATCAAGCCAAAACTCAGAACTTATTTTTGCCGTTGTTTCAGGTCCTTGAAAAACTAACTATTCAAATGTTTAGAAAATACGCAAAATTGATTAGTGATGGATTAATTGACGAGAAATTACGTGAAGTGGCCAATTTCTCCTAAATTTAAATTCAGAAATGCTCGTATAATATGCCGTTCCTTAAATATTGATTGGTAATTTAAAGTATTTCATGGATGAAAGATGTCTACGAAATTTATTTCTAAGTTGCAATTCTTAGTCTTTTTTGTGCGAATTACACCTGTACTGCTTGGAATTGATGCAACTTTACTGCCATTCCATAGCAAAACGATATATTCGTTCTCAGAATTATGTCAAAATTTGTAGTTTTTTCCTTATCGCAAAATATTATACCCGTATTATTTTATTTTGTCATAAGGGTGACCATTTCCACGTTAGGGTGGTCCAAAAATCGATTTTTATTTTCACAAATTACTTTTTTCAAAAAATTTCACTTTTGAACTAGGCCAAATATCAAATAAAAGATAGTTAAATATATATTTAAGAAAAAAGATTTATAATACACATTTAGATTTTGTATTGAAAAACATTGATTGTTTTTTTTTTTTCCTTTGGTTTGTTTTTTCCGTCGATCTTGTTTTCCGTGCTGAGCACCAATGCTACCGACGTGCCAGGAAGGCAGCTCCCACACCTGGACCCTACCTATCGACCCATCAACTCATGAACCGGGGACCAACGGCTTTACTTCCCATCCGAAGGAAGGCGTGATCAGAGATGTTATGCCTCAGAACATCCCGGCGCACATAGGAGTATTTGAGAATTTTGTCAAAAAAAAAAATAATTCCAGTGCAATTTGAATTTTTCTCTATTGGTTATAATTTATCTAATTAAATTGATATAATATGATGCAACATTATTGCAAGAGAAAATTTTCATTACGTCGAAAGTTACAAAGGTAAACAAAGTCAAGCTATCAGTGTCAATCGATGCTCCTGCTATTACACTATATACTCTCGGAATGTAGGATCACATCCCATTTTTAAATTTATTTATCAGTCAAATTGCTTTTTGACGTATTCACCTTCCGATCAAAATATTTTTCGATGTTACTTGAGTCACCCGATTTCTATGGAGATGTCGTTTGTCTTAAGCAACAGCGCAGAGAAACCCGTGAAAAGTGTACGTTCATCATTCGCTTTCTCATTATTTAAGTGAATAAATCGAACTGTTTGTTGCTAAGATGATTTCGGTTGAGCGGCGCCGGTGGTGTAGTGGTAAGCGTGATTACCTCTCACCCCAGCAGGCCTGGGTTCAATCCCAGTCAGCGCCGCCGGGATGTTTACTTCGGAAGGGAAGTAAAGCCGTTGGTCCCCGGTTCATGAGTTGATGGGTCGATAGGTAGGGTCCAGATGTGGGAGCTGCCTCCCTGGCGTCGGTAGCATTGGTGCTCAGCACGGAAAACAAGATCGACGGAAAACAAACCAAGGAAAAAAGTTAAGAGTTGTGTCCAAAGCACGACCGCATTGTTGACGTACAACTACGAGATTGTTTTTTATGCTCCATTCACTAATATATTAATAACAATATAAATGGCTTAGAAACTTATCTCCAAAATGGACAATTCTTTATTCAATTTTTTTGAATTGGGCGGTTATTGAATAAATACTAAAATTAGGATTACCTTTGACCGCTTTCTTGTTGGCTCAACACATTCGAACGCGTTCAGCAACGGTTCGCGTCTGTTTCGCAGGCTTCCCTGCCTCCCGGTCTCTCACGTGCTTCCGATAATTGCGAAGATATTTAGCAGCCATGCGTTGAGACATTTTGAAGATTTTTACCGAATTTCTCAATAAACACTTGTTTCACTTCGAATATTGACTCTATCCAATGCGAAAAGTAAACAGTGAAGCACTTACTGTACCAAGTGGAATTTAAAGAGAATGCTACAATCCATGATCACGATGATTTTTCAATATGATGTCTGTGTTTGGGAAACAATCACAAAATGAAATTTTGATTGACTTTCTTTTTGCACACGCCGGTAAGCTACACATACTCCTTCCATCATGAGTAGTATGCTATCAAGTAACGACACTCTCCTTTTGCGTAGTTTACCAATGTCAATACCTTGAATGCAAAGGGCAATTAACGAGTTATTAACGAAAGATGAAGAGAATCGATCAAAATCACTAGCACCCCTGCTTCTAAGTTTGGTTACAAGATTACAACTTTGGAGAGCATTTTGTGTGGTTGTTGGGGATGTGTGGTTCTGAATATGGACAAACAGGCACAGATAAATTCTATTCCAACTCTATACTGTAATAAGTTTGTTGGCCATGAAACCGTACAGAGTGCGTCTGTCGCTTCAAAGTGTAGACGACATCCATGGCCGCTTACGTTTGGCGTGTTCAGAGTAGGTGACAGCATCACGGATCACATTTCCAGGAACACCTTCAGCACAACTCGTGTTTTCTCGTAGATCAGACCGGAGATACGTTTGACACCACCTCTGCGAACCAGACGACGGATGGCGGTTATCACGAAGAACATTGCGATGACGCTTGACACCTCCTTTACCAAGACATTTTCCTCCAGTCATTATTGCTTGTTGGGTAGAAAAGTGGACTTCCTAACCTGCGACCACCTTCCTACTGCTGCTATTGATGCTTCTGCTGCCTGCTCACCAACCCGTTCGAAGTGAAAATGAGTTGAGACTAGACAGCAGCGCTCTTTTATATCTTTTCAGGTTAAAGCAGAATGATGTGCATCCAAGTGGTACTCGATTATGACGACTGGGTTTGGGAAGAACGTTTAATTCATGAAAACAGTGAAAAAATTATCACTTTTATTTGTACATTGGAAAGTGCTGGACATTACAACTTTTTCAATAGTTTCTTGTTGAAAATCATCAGTCGGAAGCATTGCGTAGAAATATGTCTGATCGATTGGTGATAAAATTATTGGAATTGGTTCAGGGGCAGCTGAGTTATTAATGTTCAAAAACTTTCGTAATTTTGTTACATGTTCCCTATTCGGTTTTCACAAAGTGTACCCACAAATCACAGACGTAGTCCTACGTAAAAAAAAAGATGATTTCGGTTGTGCTAAAATGATGATTGGCCTGCACATAAGGAGACGTGATTGATAATTCTCCCGAACATCATGGTGAATACACTTTGACTTAAGAAACATTAGGGGGCTCCCAAGCGACGTATAACTTTTGACTCAAAAAGCATGAAAGCTTGCGATCTGCTTTGTATGATTAAAACCCTGCTTAATATGTAAAACATTACTATCACTATGAGATTACACTGAAGTCTTTTTTTACACGGTTTTTTTTACGCGGTTTTTTTACACGGTTTTTTTACACGGTTTTCCACGATTTACACGGTACGTTTTTAACGATTTCTCGACAACGATACAACTTATTGACTTGATTCCAATCACATTATCCGTTTCAAGCTATTTGTAATCGAATGGCATACTTAAAAAAAAATCACAATTTTTGGTGTAAATACAGAAATTTTTAAAATATGTCTATATGGACCATATCATGCTTTAATTACAAATGGCATCAAAATCCGATTTTTCAAAAACATTTAAGCATGCGAAAAATCAAAATC